AGAGCAATAGCAATGTGCAGGGATGCCAACGATGCACATGGGATGGGAATACCATGTCCAGGGAGGATCAATCATGCATGGATGGCGGCACGGCATGCATGATCACAAGATGCCAGAGCATACATTCATGAGCACACCTTGATGAATGCAGGCGCTGAGGCTTCTGCCAGATTGCGCCCACATCCAGCAAATCGGATGCCAACACGTGTCAGGCTCGCCATGGTCTCCCGCATGCCCTCTATCTGGAAATCCAGCACATGATTGTTGGTCAGCGAGCAGAAGTCAATGCTGGGGAATGGTGGAGAGGGATGGGGGAGAGGAATGGAAGAGTGGGATATGGGAGAGGAATGGAAGAGCGGGATATGGGAGAGGAATGGAAGAGCGGGATATGGGAGAGGAATGGAAGAGCGGGATATGGGAGAGGAATGGAAGAGCGGGAAATGGGAGAGGCATGGAAGAGCGGGATATGGGAGAGGAATGGAAGAGCGGGATATGGGAGAGGAATGGAAGAGAAGTGGGGTGAGATGTAGTGAGGCGAGGTGGGGTCAGATGCAGCATCATGCCACTGCCCCCATGCTCACGCCACTTGCCCCATGCTCATGCCACTGCCCCAAAGATTACGCCACTGCCCCGATGCTCTCACGCCACTGCCCCCATGCTCACGCCACTGCCCCCAAGCTCTCACACCACTGCCCCCATGCTCACGCCACTGCCCCCATGGTCACGCCACTGCCCCCAAGCTTACGCCACTGCCCCCATGCTCACGCCACTGTTCCCATGCTCACGGTGGCCGTGGGGCTGTGCAACGGCCACGGGAAGGCGATTAACTGGGCCATGGTGGCCTGGTCTGGCTTCTGCTGGGTTCTCACGCTGCCGTGGGCTGGTAGCTGCGCTGGTTTGCTCTATGCCATCCTAACCCGCGGGCCTAGCTACCATGCCGCCCGGCATGTAGATTTTGGGTTGGGGGTTTAGGACGGTGTAATAATTATGTTCCGTTGGGTGGGGTTTCTGTTTCACTCGGTTTGTAAGGAATTAGTCATTCCTTCCTGAGGCTTGCTACAGGGCGTACGACTCGAACAGTCCCGAACCAATGATAGGGTTCTAGACCTTTTAGCTCGAGCCTCCTGGTCCTTTCCGGACCTCGCTTCGACACATCGAGGCCCTTCGACACTTTTCCCGAACCTTCCGATCCTATGTCCAGGATCGCCCTAGGTTTCCTATATATTGTGTTGTCTTTCATTTTATTGTCATTCACTCGTTCACAGTTTTGCCATTGCCCTCCGCGCTATTTGGCAGTTCCATTCATAACACTTGGTAGTCAGAGCCACTTTCCTCACCCGCTGGGCTTCCGAGGGCAGATTTTTTTTTTGGAAGGGGGAGAAGGCGGATGGCGCTACAGAAGGCACGACGGTTGTCCTGAAGCATGATATGATATGCTTCAACTACTGCGTTTGCGTGGGCTTCTGAAGACCGTCGATCCGACCCCAAGGGAAGAGCAGGATTTGCTCGGCCATCCCCTCGAGAGCGGTTATGTCCGTCCTGACATGGCGAAGTTTGTGAAGAGTGTTTCTGATATGCTGTTCATTTCGCATATCGTTAAAGGAGTTTCAGTTGCAGTTTTGGAATTTTCGGCAAGCAGCAACGACGATTCGGATTGGTGTCCGAATGGAGCGAGGAGCTCGTCACAAGACAACAAGCTCACGGATATCCCTAGGCGAAGAGGATTTTGTCAGGAGCGCGTGTAGCAGACGTGGCTGCATGGTGAAGTGTAGCTAGCGTCAAAGGGCTCGGCGTTTCCAGCAGGCGACACGCACGTGAAGACGGGACTTCGGATACTGTTCAAAAACGTGGCGCTAGAGTTTTCAACAAGACCAAGGATCGCACGACAACAAACGTGGGGCTTAGGCACGGAGGAGTTCAGAGGAGTACTGACCTTGGAGTTGTTTCGCGTGACTTGCCCGCCTGGAGGTGTAATTCGTCTGCCCTGGAGTTTCGAGCTCGGTGAGTCTGGATTCCTGCGGAGGAAGCCATTTTCATAGTCAAAAATTACACTCCACGATCTACGGAGGACGACCAGCAACTACCCTCAGGTCGATTTTAAGTGTCATCACCGGGTCACCGCTAAAAGTCAACGATTATAAGCTGAAGCAGAGATGGAGAACGACTGGGAACAGCCGGGAAATTTTTATGGAGTCAGCGGCAGACGGATCCCCTGACTGACTTGGATGGGTCGCCCAATTTTCAGTACCACCACCAGGTACCAGTTCGGGTTTAAGACTACTCCGACGGTTCTGGCCGAATAAGAGTGGTGAGCCCGCGGATCACCCTGTGCTGGTGGATCAAGGAAGAAATATTTTCGGCACTACACGACAGGCGAACCATTTGTGAAAATTGGATGCTGTACAGTGGGAGGCGCGTGAAGCAGGTTAACGAAAATAGCGACGGAGTTTTGCGACGACGATCGGACAGTACACGGAGCTCGAGTCCGATACGAATGGCGAGGATGTATCGTTCAGATCGACGGAGTTGGGAGCTTTTTGAAAGAACGTGCGCGGTACTGTTGGGAGAACGATGAACGTGGGCGATGGGTGAAGAGCAGCCTACGGGGATATTATCGTGGACGCAACAGTTGAAGAAATTTGCAGCAGTTTGGAGCAGACGATTGTAGAGACGATTTTTTCAGCAAGGGGAAGGAAAATCCCTCACGTAAGCTGCAAAGTGGTTGCCCGCGAATTAGACTGATTATTCGCCCAACTACGATAGCGTTTGCGCTGACCTGAGTACGTGAACACGAAGGATTCACTCCTGCTCTGGAGTGTATTCATCAAATGAAGCTTCGGGAAGACAAGGGTTACTGTTGCTGTGGGAGAAGCGCGTTGCCGCCACGCAAAATTTGGAGTCACGAGGGAGCCTTCAAGGATTATTCATGAGTTGCGGGTCTATAATCGAAGATTCGACTGCGATGACTCATTCGGGGATTTACCTGGACTGGCGCAAGGATGGGTGAACATCCACGTGTCGCTAAAACGTCGGGTATTTTCCGGGTGGGATCTCTTCAAGTTTTTGGCTAGAGCGGTAGCTGGGTCACGGATACCTACCGAGCTGTGTGATGGTTTAAATATCAGCATGGTTAGTCGGTGAAACTACATAAAATGCGCTTTTCGTAGCTGAGAACTGTACACGGGTTTTACTGGTGTACCTGTCGTAGCCGCGAGATGGGTGAACGTCTTCACGGCATACCGGTAAGGTGGAGTTGCGAAAATTTCTACAGAGGGTAGCAACGCGAAGCAGACCGACGGCAGTTGAGAAGATGAATATTTATCTACGGCGTCAGACAGAGCCAGAGTCTACGTGGCGCAGCTGCCCTGCGTTATAGGGTCGCGCTGAAACTGGTCCCGTCGAGCAGAGTTTGAAGATACTCTAATTTTTGGGTCTGAAGAAACTTGAAGCAAGGTATTTTCGGCATCGATGACAGAAGATTGTTCTTTCCATTGAGGGGGGAGAGAGTAGCTGCGGCTGCAGTTGTTTTTGGATTTTCTCTCGACAATTGGCATCCGCGGCATGAGCATCGGCGGACAAATGATGTTTGACCGACTGAATCGACGGACAGATTCGAGTTGGCCTTTCGGGAATTCCGCAGGTGTTTGCCAAAGTCGAAGGCATGTTTACATTAATCGTGTAGGCGACATCGACTACGGTTACAGGACTGATTGTGCTTTCGTCCATGTGCTGATGGACTTTGTTGGCTTTCGTGAGACACGGACGCGTGTTCTTGCGCGAATGACCTCGCATTTGAAGAATATATGGAGTTCCTTGACTTCGCGAAATACGGACGCGTGTTTCTGCGAGTGTCACGACCCACGTGGAATGAAACGAGGAGCTACCTACAGATACGGAGCTACGGACAAGTTTGGCGCATGCAGCAGATTCGGCTCGCCAACTTGCAGCAGCGTGAATAACGTAGTGTTACTGTGTGGATACAGTACAAACGAAGCTCGTCAGAGTCGCACAAGATTTTAGGCTGCCGGGGAATTAATCGCTCAAGTATTTCGCATTCCCTCGCCACGGACAAATGAGGCTTTCTCACGAGCACACGGCGAAATGGGTGGGTATTTGTGGGGGGGGCTTGTGTGGCGATGTTTGTTGCTAGTGTGCGACTCTTGTGAAGCGATCAGGCGACGGCGGTGCAGAGTTCCGTGGCGACGAAACCTCGTCGGCAACGACTTGTCCCTTGCTATGTGTTGGTCGCAGACGCAATCATGAGTGACTCAAACATATCTCCCACTGCCCGTATATTGGGGTTTTTGGGAAACAATTCTAATGGGGCGTCAGGTTGAGCTGCGATAAGGCTGGGCATCGTTTGTACCCGACGACGGGGTTTGTAATTGTCGGCGAAGGACTCGCTGCTGGAGACAAGGAAGCTATGGTGCGGTAGTTTCCCTAATGCCCGTTTGGTTATCTGGGTAATTCGACCACGAATCGACGTCTACGATCGACCACGATCGTTTCGACGTGTTTCGACCGTCGGATGGAGTTTCTTTGAAGAAGCTGGAGATTCTCAACAGTGGTGGCTTCACTACTACGAGATTCAGTTAGAGTGTGTGTAGTTTTGTTTATTTGTGTGCTTATCTAGAAGGGGGGAGAGTGTAAAAAATTAGTCATTCCTTACTGAGGCTTTCTACAGGGCGTACGACTCGAACACTCCCGAACCAGCGATAGGGTTCCAGACCTTTCAGTTCGAGCCTCCTGGGCCTTTCCGGACCTCGCTTCGACACATCGAAGCCCTTGGACACTTTTCCCGAACCTTCCGGTCCTACGTCCAGGTTCGCCCTAGGTTTCCTATATTTTGTCATTGAGTCGTTCACGGTTTCGCCATTGCCCTCCGGGCTACTCGGCAGTTCCATTCATAACACGGTTGCGGTGCGGATTCTGGCCACATGTGAGCTAGTTGATGCTGTATTGTCCGCGTTATTGTACCTCCGATTCGTTCGCGATTCCAGAGGTCCCTTGTTCATCACGCAAGAGCCACTTTGGCTTGCAATTTGGCTTTTGCCTTTTGGTGATGCTGTATTAGCGATGCAAAGCTCACGCTCGTACCTATCTGAAGAAACATGCGCGGCTTTTCTGGATATCCCTGAGAAGATCAACATCCATCTTCCCCGCTTTCCTTGGTTGTTTGATCGACCTACTCCGCTGCGCAGCTGAGAGAAATGACCTCGTTATCACCTCATGTCACGCGCGCAGGAGAGTCGTCGGATAGTCACGTCGAGCGAGCAGCCGGCTGTGACACGCGCGCGCCGTTGATCGCGGCGCCTCTCGCAACACGCACGGACGAGGCGGAGCTCGCGAAGCCCCTTGGTCCCAACCCGCGCGGCGAGTCGTCGCTCACTCGCTTCCGCTCCCCCGACCGCGAGCCGCGGCCGCGCGCTGACGAGGCGGGGCCGATCGGCGGAGTGAGGGTGAGGGGCGAGGGGAGCGCGGGGGGAGACGCGGAGGTGACGGAACGGCTGAAGGACACGTGGCGCGGGGAGCAGCAGCGTCTGCGCCAGCGGTTGGTCGTTGGAGACGCATTTGATTGGCAGCCGCCGCCGCTGCTGCGTTCGGCGGGGAATGCGGAGAGGACCGGGGATGGGGAGAGCATGGGGGGTGCGGGGATTGGAGAGTGTAGGGATGGGTGGGGGAGAGCGGATGCGCAAGGGGACGCCAAGGGAAGGGGCGATGGGGAGGGGGGGTGCAACGAGGGTTGCAGACACGACCTAGAGGGAGGGCCATATTCCCAGTTACAACCTCCCCAGTCTCACCACCCCCAGTTGCAACCGCCCCAGTCCCACCTACCCCAGTTGCGACCTCCCCTGGTCCTGGTGGGTGGCGTGGACGTGAGCTTCCACAAGAGCGACCCCAACCTGGCGGCAGCATGCCTGACAGTTGTGGCCTTCCCCAGTCTGCACCTGCTGCACTCGGAAATCACGCTCACCAGAGTCACCCAGCCGTATATCCCCGGGTTCCTGGCGTTCAGAGAGGTGCGCAGGGGTTGAAAGGGATGAGGATCGGTTAAGAACGGTGAGAAGGGTATTTTTCACCAGCCTAGTCACCATTTCCTGCCGCGTTCCTGTGTCATCGGACTCGCTCTCCCTCATCACAACTGCCTTCTCCCCCCTCCTCCCCTTCCTCCCCCTCCTCCCTCTCCTCGCTCTCCGATCGCCTCCCCTCCGTTGCTCATCCGCTCGCCTCCCCTCCGTTTCCTCGCCTTCCCTACAACAGTGCGGTGTGTTGGTGAGGCTGATCGACCAACTGAGGCAGACTCAGCCGCTCTCTCTCTCTCTCTCTCTCTCTCTCTCTCTCTCTCTCTCTCTCTCTCTCTCTCTCTCTCTCTCTCTCTCTCTCTCTCTCTCTCTCTCTCTCTCTCTCTCGATAAAATCCAAGTGTCCCACGCCTCTCCCTTCCCTGCTCCACCCCTGCCCTCGCCCGCCTTCCCCACCGCCAGTGCGGCGTGCTGGTGGGGCTGATCGAGCGACTGAGACAGACTCAGCCACAGCTGGTGCCGCAGGTGGGGGGGGGAAGCGATGGGGAATGGGCGATGGGAGATGGGAGATGGGAGATGGGAGATGGGAGATGGGCGATGGGAGATGGGAGATGGGCGATGGGAGATGGGAGATGGGCGATGGGAGATGGGAGATGGGAGATGGGAGATGGGAGATGGGAGATGGGCGATGGGAGATGGGAGATGGGCGATGGGAGATGGGAGATGGGGAAATGAGAAATGAGGAATGAGAGGGGGAAAGGTTAGTAGGTAGGTAGGTAGTGTGACGATCCAGCTTCGCTAAAACTGATCTCTTACTTTCTGCCACGTGGATCTTTGTCATTGGTTTGCCGCCCACAGGTCATCATGGTGGATGGCAATGGCATCTTTCATCCACAGGGTAGGTCCCTTCGCCATGCCATGCCATCCCATTGCGTGCCATCCCAGTCCATGCCACATGTTGAGGTGGCATGCCATGCTTGGCCGTACTGATGCCGCTCACCACAACCTGCAGACACCTCCCTCACACACCGCCCTCTCTCATCACACTCTTCTCCGGCCCTCTTTCCGCCCTTCCCTCCTCCCCTTCCCCCCCAACCCCCCAACCTGTCACATCCAGGGTTTGGACTGGCGTGTCAGTTGGGCGTGCTGGCCGACATTCCAACCATTGGCGTGGCTAAGAATGTGAGCGCCCCAACACACACATGCCTCATGGGCCATGCCTCATGCGCCATGCCTCATGAGCCATGCCTCATGCGCCATGCCTCATGCGCCATGCCTCATGCGCCATGCCTCATGAGCCATGCCTCATGCGCCATGCCTCATGCGCCATGCCTCATGCGCCATGCCTCATGAGCCATGCCTCATGCGCCATGCCTCATGCGCCATGCCTCTTGAGCCATGCCTCATGCGCCATGCCTCATGCGCCATGCCTCATGAGCCATGCCTCATGCGCCATGCCTCATGCGCCATGCCTCATGAGCCATGCCTCATGCGCCATGCCTCATGCGCCATGCCTCATGCGCCATGCCTCATGCGCCATGCCTCACGTGCCATGCCCATGGTTTCCCCACACATGCACACTTTCTTTCTCAACCATATATTGTGCTTCATGCCATCATAGTTGCCGTGCCTCATGTTTGCATATGCCCCCCACGTCATCAGATGCATTGCATGGATGGCATGACGGACCAGCAAGTGTGTGACCGGTGTGCCATGCGTCATGTCCTCAGGCACCCCTGCGTGCACCACTGCATGCACCGCGACATGCAACCCCCGCACGCCATGATCAGATGTATTACATGGACGGCATGGCAGACGAGCACGTGTGTGGCTTGCAGCAGCAGCATCTGCACCACCCTGGCGACTGGGCCCTACTCAAGGGCTCTAGCGGCGCCACACACGCTGCCGTGAGTGCTCCTCTGCACATTATCTGGCGAATAAGACCACACATCCTGTCATTGTCCTTCAGTCGACGTTCCTGGCACTCATCACGGTCTCTCACGTCGACCCATTATTCTCCTCCCCCCCCCTCTCTTCGACCCCGCCGCCCGTTGGACACTGTACTTGAGGCATCAGCTGGTGAGGGGCGGCCCTGGCAGCCACGACCCGGTTTTTGTGTCGGTGGGGCACCGCGTGTCGTTGGAGTCAGCAGTGGCGGTCACCCAGCGCTGCTTCAAGCACCGAGTGCCCGAGCCAGTGCGACTGGCAGACGGCATGTCCAGAGCTGAGCTGAGGGGAGTGGCGGCTGCAAGCACATAGTGTCGCCGCTGTCAGCACTGGCAGCCACAACGGCTGCTGCAAGCACAGAATGGCAGATGGCAAGTCGAGTGCAGAGGTGAGGAGAGTGCTTGCAGGCAGCCACAACGGCTCTCTGCAAGCACAGGCTGGCAGATGGCGAGTGATGCATGGTGGACCTTTGACTGAGCTGAGAGACCTAGGGCAAACCAGCTGACTTGTGTTCTAGTGCTCAGGCTTCAGGATCAAGTTCTCTTGGCGGTGGCTATGTGCAGAGAGGTTTCTCATGGTGTGTCTGGACTCTGGACTGTGCATATCTGCTGTACAGACTGAAGCATTTTCTTGTACAAATAAATGCATCTCCTGTACACAAGGTTTCCTTAGAAGTTGCTACTCGGCTATGTTCCTACATTTAGGCTCTCCTTTCTTATGCAAGCAAAACTAACTGTGCATACAAACGGGCTCAAAACACATTGCTAACAGCTGAGCTGTCAAAGAACTGTCGGCCCAATGAAACTAACTGTACAAAGGGGTCTTCACTTGAGGCAACGGCGCCTGTTTCCCCTCATCACAGCACAATCTCCAGGTGCCTGAGTGATCGATCCACCGCCCTCACCTTGGTGCCCATGGCGCCACACAGCTGCCGCATGCGCGCATACAGCCACCTGCGCTCCTCACCGCTCACCCCCGTGCTGGCCTGCAGCGCGCGAATGGCATTGGGGAACAAGCCGATGCTCGTGAAGCGGCACGACACGGGGTCGAGATGCAACTGAAACAGGAACGACAGGTCGTTGCGATACTCCTCATCCACCCGATAATCGTCGATGAAATCCCCGCAGCTGTACAGGATGGGCGTGCCATGGTGGCACTCGACACCCTGTATGTGGTGTGCCGACGTGCCTATAACGAGGTCAGCGCCGCAGCAGTCCACGAGGGCGTGGGAAAGGCGGCGGATGGCGGCGCTGGGCTGCCAGGCGTAGTTGGGGCCCCAGTGGAGGCAGAATACCGCCAGGGTTCTGCCAGGGAGGGTGGTTGTGGGGACGGTGCTGGCAGCTGCTGATGGTGATGATGGCCCTGGTGCTGCTTCTGGCCGTGCAGCCTCTGCAGCAGTGGTGTTGGTGTGAGGGATTTCTTTAGCAGCCCTCACTAGGCCTGCTATGCGGTTCAAGTCAGTGTCAGTTACCCTGCCAATGGGGGAAGGTGATGGGAGGGAGAGACGCGATGGGGTGAGAGAGGGAGCAGGCGCAGGAGAGGAGTGACGGAGGGGAGGAGCATGCGCCCACCTCTCAGGGTCTATCAGGTGAGTCGTGATCTCACCTCTCAGGGTCTATCAGGTGAGTCGTGATCTCACCTCTCAGGGTCTATCAGGTGAGTCGTGATCTCACCTCTCAGGGTCTATCAGGTGAGTCGTGATCTCACCTCTCAGGGTCTATCAGGTGAATCCCAGGAGAATCTTCGGTAGCCGCCCAGTACTTGAAGTGGTCGGCGGCGCTGAACAGCGCCAGCTGGATGGGCGGCAGCGAGCTGTTGCCCCCATGAAGCTGCTTGCAAATTCGGAAAGTCGGTTTGCAGATCAAAAGTGAGAGGGATGCGGAGGGGGGGAGAGATTGGGGCGGTGCAGGGAGTGATCGCGCTTGGCAGAACGACAAGACGCAACCCGAAATTCCCAGAGCAATAGCAATGTGCAGGGATGCCAACGATGCACATGGGATGGGAATACCATGTCCAGGGAGGATCAATCAAGCATGCATGGTGGCACGGCGTGCATGATCACAAGATGCCAGAGCATACATGCATGAGCTCACCTTGATGAATGCAGGCGCTGAGGCTTCTGCCAGATTGCGCCCACATCCAGCGAATCGGATGCCGACACGTGTCAGGCTCGCCATGGTCTCCCGCATGCCCTCTGTCTGGAAATCCAGCATGTGGTTGTTGGCCAGCGAGCAGAAGTCAATGCTGGGGAATGGTGGAGAGGGATGGGGGAGAGGAGTGGAAGAGGAGAATGGGGGGAGGAAAGGAAGAGTGGGATATGGGAGAGGAATGGAAGAGAGGTACGGGAGTGAAGACCACTGGTCACTGAGATGCTTTTCCTGAAAGCCCAGCACGTGGTTGTTGGCCAGCGAACAGAAGTCTACGCTGGGGGATGGGAGAGAGGAATCTGTGAGGCAAGGGGGATGAGTGAGCAAGGGCAAATTAAGAGCGTTTCGAGACATCCATGCCACATGCATGCATGCTGACAGGCTGAAAGGCCGTACATACTTACCCAGCCACAGTGAGAGCATCGATATTGGCTGGGTGCATCCTGAAGTTGAACGCCTGATTGGGCCACTTGTCGCGATGACGTGTCACACTCGTTTCCAGATTCGCAATCCGGCAGTCAGCCGCCCGTAGCAGCGGTAACCAGCCATCCCAGATGTATCCTGCTGGCGTGGATGTAGATGAGCCTGTTGACGTGTCAGGCCAAAAGCCTTCAGGAATGCGAGCAGCATCCTCATCAGCATCTTGCTCTGCCTGCCATGCCTGATATGAGGCGAGGTGGGGTGAGATGCAGTGAGGTGCAGTAGGGTGTCGTGTGACACGAGGTGGAGGTGGGTAAGGGGAGGTGCAGAGAGGTGAGGTGGAGAGAAGAGTAATGAAGACAGGAGACGAGAGGAGGGGGAACGCAATTTTGAGTCCAGGCCAGGGCGTGTCGTGACGGTCTTACAGCAGCAAGGGCAGAGTAGCGCTGGTCGTCAGGATCAACCCCGCTCACAAGCGCGGCCTTGCCTCGTCGCAGCAGCATGTGGTTCACCAGGCGACCCAACATGCAGTCGCCCACCACCGCTATCGTCGTCGCGCGCGCGCCTGATGTCGCACAGCTCGCCATGCCGCTCTCCTCTGACATCACTCGCTTCTGCTTCTTCGTCTTCCTTTCCTGCTCGGGATCTTTCTTGTGCAGCGCAACTGCTGCCAACTGCGTTTTGCCCACCACTTTTCGTCGCACACTCACTCTCCTACTCTTCCAAAACTGTCAACAGGCTCCGCGCTCCGCCCACCTCTCTAAACTGCCTTCGAAACTAGCGTACTCGGCTTGTCGTCCGGCCACGAATTGTGTCTTATGCGCACGCGATGCCGGAATTCCCGCTTACGGTGAAGCTCACACCCGCCAAGGCGACCAAGCATTCTTACGCGGACAATGAATGCTTCAAAGAGCGAGCCGAGGGGGCAAGGCAAAAACGACCAACGGACACTTGCATTTGAGAACTGCTAGCGAAGAGACAGAAAATCAATTCCACGTGTAAGGTTGTGGAACATCTCATCAATGCACGAACATCTATGGAAGGTCAAAAACAAACTGTCTGAACCCGGAATCGAACCGGAGACCTCCAGTGTGTGAGACTGGCGTGATAACCGACTACACCATCCAGACGGGATGGTGATTAAAACAAAAGCTTCAAAACATATACACTTCTAAAAATGGCATAAAAATTGTATGTTGCCGCAATCACTTTCTATATTCTCACCCCAATCTATTGCATGCTGTAATGCTTTCTTCACGATTCTTTGTACTACTAAGGAGGTATCATAATCTGGAGAGCTACAGCTTGATAGTCAAATACCAATCCAGAGCCAGGTTTACTGAAGAATGCTCTCAAGAGCCTCAAAGACAAGTGGTGCCCACTCAGGACTCGGCGTCTTGACGGCACACTTGGTGCCTGCAACACCAAGCAAGAAGGTTATCTCCAGAAGAATAGGGATGGACGGGGCAAGCTTGGCAGAGAGGTAGAGAATGTCTTGGTTGGTATCCTTGAGGTGTCGCTTCGCCACAAAGAACACATTGTTCAGTGCCAGCTTCTCCGAGACAGAGTCAATGTTGGAGATGGTAATGCCCGGCAGATCACGGGAGACCTCATTGGAATCTGGAAGCGCCTTCCACGTCTGAGGATTAGGGAGGAGTGCATATGGTTGGAGAGGATGAGTGCTAAGCCGCCAAACTTGTTAGGTGGCTCTCTAACAACAGCGATGGCATCACCCAAACGTAGCAAATGTTGGAAAATGCTTCTAGCCGTCCTCAGCCCCCAAATTGGCGGGCTCACCTCAAGAAACATTCCGCGTTCCATCCGTCCTTCTTCTGTGAAAAATGCCTGCACCCTGATTTTGTCAGTGAAATACCAAACCGGCTGCTGGTTGTTTTTCACCGCAACTTGCAGGACAGACGACGGAGGAGGGGGGGACACGTTCTGAAAAAGGGTCAACGGCAGATCAGCTGTTGCTGATGCACCTGGTTGCAGAGGAGGCACCTGCGAGGAGGTAAACATAACAAGATCAGAACAAGAGGAGACTACCACACTCCATGAAAAACACAGGGCTTGATCAATGTCTTACAGGTAGAACACCAGGCGGAGCAGATATGCCGAAGGAGTTTTTATTGAGCTGCATCATGAATCCATCCAAAGCTGTGCTAGAGTTGTTGTCTAACTTCACACGGTAAACCACCTGGCCATCCTTGCGCTCCAATTGACCATTGATCTGCAACCCTTGACCAGCTGATGCTGCTAGAAGAACTGGAAGAGGAGGTCTGCTTGGACACACAAAGTGAAGGGAAGAGTTGTGCCATGATGACAATTGGACCTCACGCAGACATCCGGGTGCAATACATGGAAGAAGGCCCATAAGCAGGAGAGGTGCCTTACCCAGAAGTTGCCTCAGGCACAGGGACTACGGCAGCATCCAAACCCATAAGATCGCCGAGCAGGTCAGGTGGTGCAGGAGCAGCTGCAGGGGCAGGAGCAGCAGGGGAAGGGGATGGAGCAGGAGCAGCAGCTGCTGAAGCTGGAGGGGCGCCACCTGAAACAGGAGCAGACGACTCCTCGTACTCCTCTGAGGGCTCAGCTGCTGATGCAGGCACAGCAGAGCGGAGACGAGAGACAAAGGCTGACGGTGGCTTCTGATAGACAGAAGACAAGGTGGCAATGTTGCGCAGGAGCTCGGCCAGCAAATCCGGGTCTAGGCCAGAAACCTCGTCACTGATAGTTGGCTTCTCTGCAAGGACAATGTCTTTTGCTGCCTCGGGGTCAGTGGAGAGGAGCCGCCAGTACACATAGGCACGGTCACGAAGATCAGGGTTATCCGTCTCTTGAGTTGCATTGTTGAGAACCGTCTGCAAGAGAAAAACAACTCTCAGTAAAGCCAACAGACCAAACATGAAACATACAGCATAACAGTAACGCAATGAACTTTCCTGAATCATTTGTTGTGGGCCCTCCGTGGGCTTCTTCAAAAAAAGCTTCACAGCTGCAGTCAACAACTGCAGTTGAACCTGAGCAGGCTCCTCCAAGAAGCTTTCCAGAAAGCCTTCCAGAAGTTCATCTGCATTGTCAATGCGCTCAGCATACTCTCCAATGATCCAGATCATTGACGCCTGCGTATTGCAACAGCCATGTCAGACACGATGCACTAAGTTGCACTCCATAATCATGAGCAACACCCATCTGTACCTTCGCTTCTGGTTCATCCAGGTTGTCTAAGCTTTCACAGAGTGTTGCAATGATGGATTCGTACCTGCACAGAAGCAGCACACATCTCAAACAATAAATTCGTGCATGGACGACAAGTCATTTGGGCAAACGGTTCGTTTCACTTACGTGTTTGGGTATCTGCGGAAGATGTCCTTGATCACAACAATCGCCTCTTGGACGACATAATTGACCTTGATCTTAATAAGGTCGAGGAGGACATTGATGCATCGCTCTGCAGCCTTCTCAAGCTTGATGGCACACCTGCCAATAGCTCGAACAGCCTTTCTAACGAAGTCCACATCCACCTCAGTCGCATACTCCTTGAACTCCAGTAGCACCTGACAACCGGTTCCACCAATCCATGCTTTCAGTAAGCAAACAGGAAACAAGTGGGTAGTGAGACTGTTGCAAGAAGAAATACCTGATCAATGTTCCTTTCAGATGCCAGGCGAATCATAATCTCCAGCTTCTCCATCTTCACATAGATGGGGTCATTATACTTGCAAAAGAAGACCTAAAGAACGAAAGAGGAGGAGTCAGTACTTGCCTGAGTGGCAAGAAAAAAACACAGGACTTCTCACCAAGCCACACTAACCTTGATTTCATGTGCGAGAATTGATGGCCTCTTCTGAACGACGAGATTGATGTTTCGCAAAGCCACATACTGAATCTCAGGCTCTGACGAAAGTAGCGTGACCAATGGAGGTGCCATCTTCTTGCAGAGGTTCCGTATCAAGTCAGTGCTTGTAATGAGCTCCATTTGCAGCAGAATGACCTGTTCAACGCAACGTACACGTCGAGCGCTTTGTTGTAAAACGAATTGGGAAGGAAAGTTGGGGCTACAACAAGGGCCGGCGAACGCACCTTAACAGCGGAAAGGACAACAGCTGAATTTGCATGCTGCAGGCGAGGAGTGACGCGTTCCACAATCCCCTCAGCTTCACGAGCATCTCGTGCTTTGTACTTGGAAAGAGAGTCCAAGATGAAGACCTGTCCCCACCTGAGGTAATGACACAACTTGGTTAAGAACGATAGCAACTTTCAGCTGACTACGAAGCGTGAAAAAATACTCACTCCGTACACTCGTTCAGTGCAGCAAGCAGCTTGAAGACTGTATTAGGCGTGATGTCGAAGACAGGCTTGCTGCTGCCTTCTTGAATCTCAGACAGCGCGGCAACTGCGTTGGCCACGACCATGGGATTGCTGTCCGAGATCATATCCCGCAGTATGTCTAAGAAACCACGATCCTCGACAAGCTCTGCGTTAATATCGTGGAGTTTGGCCACACAGATTGCTGCGGTCTTCCGAACGTATGGGTCGTCGTCCTGAAAACAACAAAAATAGAACGCTTTGTCAGGGGCAGCCAAACCTTCCATTCAGTGCTAAAAATTAGGTCAAGATGTACCTTCAGGCATCGCTGCAGCGGGTCACACAGGTACTCCGTGATACGATCAACCCTAATGCATCCCATTGTTCGGACCGCCAAGGCCCGAATGAGCGGATTTGGATCTTGTGAGTCCTGGAGCCAATACAAATGTCAGTGATCGGCTGGATGGGCGCTACACCAAGAAAAATCGACGATTGAGACAAGACGCACCTTGACGAATGTGTTGACAGCGAGGATGGCAAGATCCGGCTGGCTCTTGGCATAGTTAATGAGATACAGATAGACAAGCTTCTTCAGCTCCAGGTTCTCGGTCTGCATGCAGTTCACGACATCTGTGAACAGCATGGAGACGTCCTTCCCTACGGTCATGGCTGCAATGACCTTCTTGACCGCATCCTTCCTTTTCTCCTGCATAATATACCCACAAATCGTGATTAAATGCTAAGCTAAATATAACTACAACGACATGATAACCAGAGATCGACTACGGAATGACCGAGAAAATAATCCTGGCTTCAAGACCGCACCTTGTACGGAGAATTGAGCTCCTCTTTCAATTCATGAATCTCGCCCTTCTTTGTTGTCGTAAAATACTTCGAATCGTGACCGCTCATGGCTATAGCTGCTAGGTCTTCTGCTCCAGGAAGAACGACAGCCTAGGCGACAGCGGCCAGAACAGAGATCTCCTAGCTTGTTGTGCCTAGAGCGGATCCAACTCCACAAGAATGGCGAAACATGCCTGGGAAATTGATCCGCCTAGGAAACAGAAGGTGGCTGTGCACGAAAGTGGAGAAACGGCTCGCTGGCGAGAAACGGAAACCATGCGAAACTTGCTGAACACCGGCTAGGCAACGGCGCATAGAGGGAATGAAAATTGCTACCGGTATGTTCGTAAGGGCCTAAAATTTTGAGATAAAAGTTACTATGCCTTCACATGAAATTAGGCTTTTAAAAACTCCCCATAAGCCCTTTCCTATTGCTGACCTATTTCAGTGGCATTATTTTTCCTTGTTATCAAGTGAATTTATATATGGGCCGAATCACAATAATAAAAGAAACCCACCTAATGTGACTACAGATATCCTTACTTTTCCCAGAAAGCCAATGGTATGCAAAGTGTTGGGCTGAGAAAAGCCCTTGGGATCTTTTCAGAGACTAAGTCCCACTTGTACAAGATGCTTGAGTAGTGCAGCGGAAGTGTTGAGTAGTTGAACCTGTTAACGTAGAAACGAATGATTACTAGATGTGGAAACCTAGAACAAATACTAGTTGGTTGTACTCACTAGAAGCATACCTCAGTCTAGCCTATAACTTCTACATAGATAATATGTATAAGTTGACACACCCCCTAGGCTAGACAAGGGGTGAAACTAAACAAGAAGCAAACAGCTCAGGGCGGCACTACTAGTCCAACCACTGAGGCAGGGGTCTGGAGACCAGTCAGCAAGAATACAACCAAAACTGAAGCAAGCCAGGGTGGCACTACTAGTCCAGCCACTGGAGGTAAGGCCACAAGGCCAGTCTGACAAGCATATATAATAGAGAGTACACAATCAGGATCCTAACAGGGGAGCAGCTACAGGAACAAGACCAAGCTGTACACAGTGCCGCTGATGATCTTTAGGCGCAAGCGCCTTAGTAAAGATATCAGCTGTGTTGGCACCTGAGGCCAAGTGAACTACGCGGGCCTGGCGGCGCTGCTGTAGCTCGCGCAGGAGGAAGTACCGCAGCTGGATATGCTTCGCTCTGCCCTCAAGCCGAGGCTCCTGACACAGGAGTATCATGGCCCTGTTGTCAGCGTACAAGACCGGGGCAGAGCTAGGCCGCTCACCTAAGTCAGTGAGCAAGAAGGTCAGCCAGCGGAGCTCCTGTGCCGCCATGGCACCGGCGTAGATCTCAGCCTCACAGCTAGACTGAGCCACAGACGACGAGCGAGTGGATCTCCAAGAGATAGCACCCGAACCAAGGCTGAAACAGTAGCCCTGCGACGACCTGAGCGTCTCAGCGTCGTCTGCCCAAGAAGCGTCTGTGTGCCCAGTAAGGACCACTGGCCTGCGTCCTCCTAGCACTAACCCCATGCCTGATGTACTAGCAAGATAACGCAAAACCCTCTTAGCGGCAGACCAGTGCTGAGGTCGGTGTCTGCCTGTAGCCACAAAGCGAGCCAGGATGCTGAGAGGGTATGCGAGATCTGGGCGAGTGCAAGTCATCAGGTACATGAGGCAACCCACCAGCTCTGCGTAGGGGCCACTGGGCTCTACTGGCTCCTCAGGAACGGGAGAAGAGAGCCCATGGTCTACGGGTAGAGGTGTGGGCTGTGCAGAGGAGAACTGAAGACCGAACCTCTGAAGGACCTGACGCACCAAGTGTGACTGGGTCAGAGTGATGGTGCGTGCTGCTCTGTCCCTAGAGATCTGCAGGCCAAGATAGCGACGCAGCTCTCCAAGGTCAGTGCAGGTGTGTCTCTTCAGCAGCTCAGCCTTCACAGAGGCCAGTGCGTCCCTGTCAGGAGTAGCGAAGACCAGGTCGTCTACGTAGACAAGGATGTAGAACGGAGTCTGGCCGGAACGCACAAACAGTGAAGGGTCAGCAGAGGACGGAAAGAACTGCAGGTCTGCTAACGTGGCACGTAGCGTGTCGTGCCACTCGCGGGGAGCCTGACGCAGGCCGTAGACCGGGCGCCTGAGAAGCCACTGGGTCCCAGGAGGGAAGGTACCAGTGAAGCCCTGTGGTCGGCGCAGGTAGACCTGCTCGTGTAGGCTGCCCTGAAGAAAGGCAGTAGAGAAGTCGAGGGAGTGAAGCTCGTAGTCGCGCTGTGCTGCTACGTGTAGCAGCGCCCGAAGAGTGGTCATCTTCGGGGTCGGGGCGAAGGTCTGGAAGAAGTCAACCCCCTCGCGCTGACTGAAACCTCTGGCCACGTAGCGCGCCTTGAAGACAGGCGGCTCTCCAGGGGGGCGCTTCACCTTGAAGAGCCACCGACCATCGACTACGTTCACCCCAGGCGGGGGAACTGCGTCGACGTAAGTGCCGGTGGATCTCCAAGATGCCATCTCCTGCTCCATGGCAGCTATCCACTGAGAGGCCCAAGGTCCCGAGGTGGCCTCAGCGTAGGTGCGAGGGGTCGGGATGTCGAAGGCGTCTGGGTCACCCTCAGGGACTAACAGCATGGAGCAGAGATGGGGAGCAGCCTCGGAAAGGAAAGCCAGCTCGTACTGCCTGTCCTCTAGGACGTCACTGCCAAGGGCAGGAGCACCCCCGACGGACAGAGGACGGGCAGGGTCAGAGACCAGAGCGGTAGCGTAGTCAAGGCGGCGGGTAGAGGCGAAGTCAGCGACAGCAGCGACAAGCGCGTCAAGGCGCGAGACAGGAACAGCAGGGTCGGTAACAAGAGAGGCAAGGACCCGAGGGACAAGGGGACGAGCAGCACGGAGGTAGTCAGAGAACGGAGGAGGTGCAACAGCAAGGGACGAGGGAGGAGGGGACGGGAGGAGGGGAGGACGAGACGAGTGGGAACGGAGCAACATAGGGTGGGTGGGCAGGACAGGAGAGACGGGACGAGCACGGGAGGGACGGCGAGCCCAAACGTGAGACGGAGGGGTAGGGTCAGGGGACAGCGGAGGAGACACAGGAGGGGAACGAGGAGGAAGACGGGCCGGAGACGAGTCTGGCGGCGGGAACACAGGACCGTAGACAGGAAGGTCAGGAGGCGGTGGGGGAGACACCGGCGCGCGGTCCGGGGAGGGAAGGCCGAGCAGGCGGAGAGCGGAAACCGGCGGCGACGGCTGCTGCGGCGGCGACGACGGCTGGGCCGGAACTCTCGGACCAGCAGAGGCAGAACGACCGTCGGCAGAACACTCAACAGCAGCACCCCCAGAACCAGCACCCCCAGAGCGAGAACCCCCTCCAACACCAGCGGCACCCCCAGAAGCCGCAGGACGAACACCCTCCTCCACACCAGCACCCCCAGGGGCCGAGAGCAGCGGCGGCAGTGGCGGCAACGGCTGCGGCGGCGGCGACAGCGGCGGCAGCGACAGCGGCGGCGGCGGCGACGACAGCGGCGACGGCTGCGGCGGCGACGGCGACGGCGGCGGCAGCGGGGTCGGCGACTGCGACAGTGGGGGCGGAGGCACCGGGGAAGGGGGACGCTGCAAGGACGGACCGGGGGTACCACCAGAGTCAGCAGACTCCTCAACGGGGACAACCGACGGGAGGGGAGTGACGTGGGAGACACCAGACGGGGCAGGACGAGGCGGGAGAGGGGCAGGGGCTACCGGGGGAGAGGGAGCAAGGAAAAGGGGGGGGGCAACTGGGAGACCTCGGTGAGGGAAGCGGCGGTAGAAGGAGACGGACTCGTCAAAGGTGACGTCTCGAGAGTGGAGGAAGCGGTGAGACGGCGGGTGGTAGAAAAGCCAGTCAGACGAGTCCAGGGGGAAACCGAGGAAGACACAGGGGACAGTGCGGGCAGTGAGCTTGTCCGTGCCAGAGGCACGAACGTGAGCAAGGCAGCCCCAGACGTGGAACGCAGACGCGTCACCGGGGGACCCGGTCCAAAGGAGGGTCGGCGAAACCTGCGGCCGCTGGGAGCGTGGCCACAGGTTAAGCTGGTGAGCCGCGTAGCGAACAGCGAACGGCCACAGAAAATGGGGGGCATCGGCATGGATCATGGAGGTACGGGCGACCTCCATGACCAAGCCGATGCGGCGCTCAGCAACCCCATTCTGCTGTGGCGAGTCCGGCAACGTGTACGACTGGGTGATGCCCTCCGCACGACAGAACTGTCCAAGCCGACCAGAGGCGAACTCGCCGCCACGGTCGGAGTGGAGACACAACACGGGGAGACCGCGGTGGAGACGCGCAGCCACAACCCACGGGAGAAGAACGTCGGGCACGTCGGCCTTCCGCTCCAGGGGAAACACTGTGGTGTAGCGCGTGTAGTCGTCGACGAGCACAAGGAAGTAGCGCTCACCGCGCGGTCCGGGGACGGGGGCAGGGCCCCAAACGTCCAAGTGCAGGGTCTGAAGGGGGGCAGTAGCAGGACGCAGCGAGGAGGAGTGAGGAGCACGGCGGAGCCGACCCTCGACGCAAGGCGTGCACGGTGGCGCAGTCGAGGGAGGAAGGGCAGGGAGCGACGCGGGGAGACCTAAGACAAGACCGTGCTGGGACATGTGACGCAGACGCGGGAGAGCAGGGTGACCTAAGCGGTGGTGCCAGAGAAGGGAGGGGTGAGTGAGGGACCGACACGAGCAAGCTGCAGCGACCTGGGAGGACGCACCAACCGGGGGGGAAGCGGTGTGTAGGGTAAACAGACCGGACACCGGGTCCCGGGGGAACGTCGCAAGGGGGGAACCTGAGACAGCCTCAGAACAGACAGCGAACCGCTCGTGCCCGGGGAACGTGGTGGTGACGCCGAGGTCCTGGAGACAGCCGACACCAACCAGGTTCCTGGAGAACGAGGGAACGTGGAGGCCAGTAAGGGAGCCCGAGGGAACTGCCGGACAAGGAAGGGACGTAGAACTGCGCGCGACGACCGGACCCGCAGAGGGGTCAGCGAGAGAGACAACAGCAGGTGCAGCAAGCGGCGTGAGCGTGGAACGGTCGCGGAAGAAGCAGGCAGAAGCACCAGAGTCGAGAGTGAAGGACAGCGACGTAGTGGCGGAGGCCGGGGACGGAGCCGGTGCAGCGACTAGACTAGGCAACCTAGGCAGTCCTACGCCTGTCGCAGCAGGGGAAGCTAAGCTACACAAGGGT